AAGGATTGACTAGCCTTCGTTCGTGCAATCATATAGTCTGCAAATTACTATTATCTTATTAATCTTAATTTTTTTCTAATCACTTCCGGTTGCTCAATTTTTACTCCAAAAGCTCGTGCGTAGGCTTCCATTAAATGCTGATTATCTCGAAAACGAGCTMGGGACACCCTATTTTTCTTTCCAGATTTGGAATCAGCATTAAATTTCAATTCGGAAAAATGAAGTTTTAAAAAAAGCTTAAATCAATTTCCAAAAGTAGGCAGTCACCTTAACTAGTAGGTTTAGATTGACATCTGATAGTGGTTTAGACCACAACCAAGAACCACCTTCTTCAGCAGCAGGAAATTAGAAACATTTGCCAGTGAATAAGTGGTTTTGATTTTAATTTATTCACACAAAAAGTTGGTGAGAAGTTCATAACAGCAGTAAAAGTCAATCTGGAATGTTAAAACAAAAGTGTTGTGGGCAGGATGCACTACTATGGTGCTGTCTCTTGTCACTCTATAATTCATGCCTACATGAGATTGTCAAGAGACACCCACAACAGTACTTCTGCTTTAACATTGCAGATCAGACAGGTGACAGATGGATTTTAACTGCAGCCGTTCGACTACAGATTGATTCACGTGTGTCAGTTGAGTTTGTTTGTTGTATTCATTCTCTCAGGTTTTGATCCAGGATCTCTAGTTTTCCTCTCTCCATAAAAATCAGTGTCTTCTGATGTGAGTTGAACCATGTGAGTTGAGTGCTTCATGCTGTAAATAATGAATGTAGTGGTAGTGCATGTAGAGTGAACCTCACAGAAGAGCCCATTACAGGGAATGATATTTTGTAAAATATGAGTTTTGTATATTAATAATGTTCAATTTATCCCTGCAGAAACATAGAAGATGAAACTCTTTGTCTACAGTATTTTTTTCAAGCAAGAACAGCTAAGTACTGGTTAAATTATTGGAAAAGAGAGAGGCTAGTTTGGTGGAGAAAGTTTGCCAATGTTCCATCCAACTTTTCAGTCTTTGATGTTCAACAGAGCAAATCTCAAGCAAATCATGTTACGGAGGTCCAGGTATTGAATAATTATTGATGTTGTCGTATATCTAGTAAGTTTTATTGGGAAACAAGAAAAACACTTTTCACATGGCTTATTCTGAAGTTTGTTTTACCCTGAAACATGTGCAACGTCTGCCACAGCTGACTTTAAACTCTGTGTTTAGCATCTTGGGATACTAAAATCAACACTTTTTTAGTGGCCTAAAGTTAAGACCAAGCACTAATGTAGCGCTTGTGTGTTGCAAGTATGAAACTGTTTTGTAAAATTAAAAAGTATAAAAAACTACAGTTTTTCAATTTTGATTTTCATGTTACAGTATGCCTTTCCCTGGGGAAAAGAAGAAATAGAAACTATTGAATATTGGCCTAATTCTAACCCTTTTGGTAGTCATCTAAGAATTGTTTCTGAAGACATCAGTGAACTACATCCTCACATTCTGCAAGCCTCTGCCAGTTTGAATAAAGGTTGGTTTACGATAATATATATTTATGAGATAAATATTTTTGAAATCACCATTTCTATTTCAATCATTTAATTTTGGTTTCTTATTTCTTTCAATGATAATATGAAAGGATTTGTGGCTTTGTTGGTAGATGCAATTGAAGAAAAAGAACGAGYAAATAGTAATGGTGATGTGTCTACTAAAAGTGTCCTCTATCTCCACCCAAGCTTGGCTCCAGTCAAAGTTGCWATTTTGTCTCAAAACAAAGAAAAAAATGAATTGTCAGAAGTCAGTCTTCAACTTGCATCAGAATTTCGTCGAGCAGGTATTAAAGTAGCCTCCTTCGCAGCCGTTCTTAGGGTCGTCACACAACGTTTCCCTCCCCACAAATGTTTGTGGGGAGGGAAACGTTGCGTGACGACCCTAAGAACGGCTGCGAAGGAGGCTAGTATTAAAGTGAAAATAATATTTTTCATTGTTTGAGTGATCAGAAGATGTTTGATGTTAGTCCCTCTCTTACATAGCTTCTTTGGCTAGGTTTAGTTCAATCACTACTGCTAAATATTGTGGCTGGAAGAAGCTCTTTTTGACTTTAGATCCTGCTTGTAAAATTTAATGGTGTCAGTTTATGTAATAATAATAATAATAATAATAATAACATATATTTTAACACGATGAAATTACAGTTACAAACTGAT